TTTTATCGTTTTCATTTTCATCGATGAGGATGATATTTTTTTCGAATCAAATTTAAAAAAATGGTATTTTATGGAAAAGCGAAAATACAACGTTCATCCTTTATACAAAATGCGTAATATGGAGAATTTCACCACCTTTTTAACGACCTCGAAAAAGATAAACGTTGTTGTTTTCAGTATATGAGGATGGATATAGAAACTATTAACACATCCCCTGCCAGCCATATTTTCGTATATATGCCTCTACAGGCCAATGCTATTATACTGTAGTTTTTTGTATACAAAGCCTTGCCGTTTGATTATTTCGTCAAAATTATTGTTTATTTACGAAATAAATTTAAAAAACCGCGTTGGTCCCATCGGACCAACGTGGCCGGTTGAGGCACTTCGATGCCTTTGCGCGCCGTTGGTCCCACTGCAGTAAGAAGCACATGGCACTGCATAATCTAAACTTTTTATATCGGTTTATGTCAACTGTGACTGTGATTGTTATATCAAGTTAAAAGTGTTGATTTTATGAGTTTATCTTCAAAATTATAATATAATGTAAGTGCCAAATATTATTTTTAAGTTATTATTTTATACTTATGTGATATTTTTTCAGAATGTTTCCTCGCAAACGTAAACTGACAACTCAACAGTTACAAAAATATGCAGACAATTTTGGAGAAATGTCAGATGATGAAGACGGTTGGGAACCGTTTGAGAGCTCAGATAGTAATGAATCATTCCAGTATGAGTCCGAATCAGAGTCAGAAACTTCATCCAATTCAGAAGTAGAAAATATGCAGACACTTATAAATCAAACAAAACGAGTGAAATCAAGTATTCAGGATCTTGGATCTGTATTACCTTCAACAAATGGTTCAACATCAACAAATCCAGTGTTGCCGATTCAAAAAATGCCAACTAATAGGCAAGAGTCTCCGAATTTGACATCAATATCGGTAGCAGGTTCGCAATCAAATGAAGATCCATTATGGGGAACCACAATTGGAAATTATAAGCCAATAGATTCTTTCTCTATTCCATCGGGAGTGAAACCAGAGGTAGCAGCATTGTTGGTGAGTAGTACACCAGGTGAATTTTTTGATGCTGTAGTAGATGATAAAGTAATATCACTTATTTGCGACGAGACAAACAACTATGCGACCCAATTTCTTACATCTCAGGACGCTACACCAAACTCCCGTTTGCATGCTTGGAATCCCACCACAAGGTCTGAAATTAGACATTTTTTAGGATTAGTAGCCTCTATGGGATTAGTAAAACAGCCATCATTGCCTGACTACTGGAGTACAAATGAGCTATTTAGTAATAATTTTGCTTCAAAGGTAATGCCGAGAAATCGATTTGAAATTTTATTACGCATGATTCATTTCGCTGATAATGTAACGGCAGATAAAAGCGACAAATTGTACAAAATATCACCATTGCTAAATATTTTAAAAACAAATTTTCAGTCATTGTATGTCCCTGAAGAATTTATTTGTGTAGACGAAACTCTCCTACCATTTAGAGAAAGACTAGGATTTCGTCAGTATATCAAAACAAAACGGCACAAGTCTGGGATAAAGCTATTTAAACTTTGTTCTGGGTCTGGATACACGTATAATATCAAAATATATGCAGGCAAAGAAGACACTACTGTCACTCCTGAAAAAGTTGTACTATATCTAACTCAAGGTTTAGTAAATGAGGGACGAACACTAATTGTTGATAAGTGGTACACTAGTCTGCCTCTGGCCAAAAAATGTTAGGCGCCAATACACATGTAATTGGAACTATTCGGAAAAACCGAAAAGGACTGCCCAAAGAAGTTGTAAGAGCGAAGTTAAAACGTGGCGAAATTTGTTCCATGGAAAATGACTGCGGCATTACAATTATCAATTGGAAAGATAAGAGAAACATTCTTATGCTTTCTACAAAACATGGAAACGAGATGATATAAGTGCCATGCAATCAACACATAAAACTAAAACCTCAGGTTGTAGTGGACTACAACAAAGGTAAAGCAGCTGTAGATCTATCAGATCAATTTGGGGCCTATTCAAATCCACTAAGGAAAAGTGTAAAGTGGTTCCGAAAAGTGGGATTTGAACTTATTCTTACCACATCTTTAGTAAATGCGTACATTTTACATAAATTAGTAACAGGAAATAACATCTCTATAACAGATTTCAAAAAAGATGTGGTCAAACACCTAACAAAAGCCGAGGAAACTATAGAAAGTGCCACTCAGACCTCGTGTGTAGAAAACCACATCATTAAAGTGAAGAAAGAAGGAAATAAACATAGCAGAAGAAAAATGTGTAAGAACTGCTACAAAAAAAATTCTGAGACACACGGCGAAAATATGCCATGAATAAAACGAAAAAAGTTGATACATATTGTGAAAATTGTGAAAATCAGCCACATTTTTGTATCAATTGTTTTAATGAAGTTCACGCATAATATTTTATATACGTATATCAGAGATTGTAAGAGTTTCTAAATACATTTTACAAAAAATTAAATTTTTTTATTTTAATCACTTCCTATCAAATAACTGGGACCACGAGGTACTATTTTCAAATAATTCAATGGGCCATTCTTACAGTATATACTTTCTAGGGCACATGGATCTTTTAGTCTGAGATATTAGACATTATTATGAACCAGCAGCCTAACAAGCCTTAAAAAAGGTGTTGGTCCCATGGGACCAACGTGGCGCGTTAAGGCAACACTAGTATGGGTCCCATGGGACCAACGTGGCAGGGAACGTGTTAAGTATATTTTATACAAAATCGATAACGCTTTTAATAAAAACTATAAACATTGATACGCACAGCCAATTTCACTTAAGGAACGGTTAATGGTAACAATAAGGTATGTATTAAAGCTTTATTCTTCTTATTTGAGTGCCTCTCCTATCGGAGATTGGATATCATTGTGGCGATTCTAATCTTATTTACTGCTGTTTTGAATAATTCATTAGTGGTACAGTCAAACCACTATCTTAAATTTCTCATCCAGGACATTCTTCTACGGCCTGAATTTCTGCGTCCTTGAATTTTTCCTTGCATTATATTTTGTAGGAATGTGCACTTTTGTCCTCTCATCAGGTGGCCTAAGTGTTCAAGTTTTGTCTTTTTTATATTCATGATAACTTCTAGATTGTTATTTATTCTGCGTATTACCTCTTAATTTGTAATTTTATCCACCCAACTTATTTTTAGTATACGGCGGTAGCACCACTTCTCAAAGCTTTCAAGATTTTTAATATTACTCTGTTTAAGAGTCCATGCCTCAACACCGTAAAGCAAAGTACTGAATACATAGCATTTTAACATTCTAGTTCGTAGATGAATAATATCACGATTACAAAATAATTTTTTCACTTTTATAAAGGTAGACCTGGCAATTTCAATACGTCTTTTTATCTCGTGATCTTGGTCACCTGTTTCATTGATGAGGGTTCCCAAGTATTTGTGTTCGCTTACTTTTTTATGTTGGGTACTGTTTATTGCGATACTAGTGTCATGTATTGGATTCTTACTGAAGGTCATATATTTGGTTTTTTGACGTTCATCCTTATGTCGTATTTATTACATATCTCATTCATACTTTAACTAGATGTTCTAGATCTTCCGCTGTTCTTGCCATTGTCACAGTATCGTCAGCATATAGAATGTTATTGATAACTTCTCCATTGACAATTATCCCTTCATTTGCATGTGAGAGAGCTTCTTGGCATATTTGTTCGCTGTAGATATTAAACAAGAGTGGTGACAATACCCTGTCCTACTCCTCTACGTATTTCTATTTCGTCGGATGCTTAGTCTTCTATTTTTATATTAGCTTGCCGATTCCAGTACAGATTTAATATTATTTGTGTGTCTCTGGTATCGATATTCTTACCTTCCAGAATTTCTTTGAGTTTATTGTGGCGTACTTTGTCAAAGGCCTTTTCAATGTCTATAAAGCAGGTATGTACCTCTTAGTTAACATCTAGACATCTCTGTGTTAGGACATTTAAGGCAAAGATAGCTTCTCTTGTACCTAATCCTTTTCTGAATCCCATCTGTGTATCGTTAATATCGATATCTAACTTTTGATAGATTCGGTTGTGGATGACTCTACGAAATATTTTAAGCAGATGACTTATCAAGGAGATTGTTCGATGATCTGAACATTGCATTGCCTTAGTTTTCTTCGGTATGGTGACAAACGTAGACAGCAACCATTCTTGAGGTATTATACCAGTACTGTATATTGTATTGAATAGATGTAATATTATGGTTACGGATTTATCATTTAAAAGCTTCTACAGTTCTGTAGGAATTTCATCAGGTCCATTTGCTTTTCCATTTTTAGCGTTTTTTATTGCGTATTCTACTTCTTCTTTCAATATGTCCAGCCCAGTTGCATTGATCATCTGAGTTAAGTTGTTTCTATCGTCTTCAAATAATTCATTCAGGTATTCTGTCCATCTTTTTATCTTATTCTCTAGATCTACAATAAGATTTCAACCTTTGTTCTTAATTTTACCTATTTGGCATTTCTTTATGCTTCCTGTTATCTCTTTTACTTTTTTGTGTATATTGAACGCATCGTACTTTTTCTCATACGTTTCCATTTCTTCACACTGTTCTTTAATCCACTCCTCTTTGGCATTTTTTTATTCTCTTTTTTATGTGTTTATTTATTTCTTTGTATTTGTCTGGGTAATTCTTTATCTTTCTTCTTTGTTTCATTAAGTCTAGTATATCTTGTGTCATCCATCCCTTATTCTTTGTTGTTGTTTTACACAGTTTTACACTTTATTTAAAGCTTTATACAAAATATTAAATTTAAAAAACAGTAGGCCAAAGTTACAAATTTTTTATTATTATTACTTTAAAGTTAAAAAAATTTACACAAATATTTAATTAAAATTTGGATAATTCCAAGCTTGTGAAGTTTGCTGAATTGAAGCGTTTGGACTTTGCAAACTTGTCTTGTTAGATGATACATTTTGATCATTCAGAAGACGTGGAAGGCGTTGGTAACACATCATTTAACAGCTGGAGCACATTTATTCGAAAATTAATTTTTGTTTTAGGGTCCAATGCCCTAACATGAGGAAGTATGCTGTTGAAAAATGCCTCATCTTCATCTACCATCTGCCTTTGTAAAGCTCTTTCTTCTTCCAGTATGTTCCTTTTCTGTCCGTCTTCTTCTTTGCGTCCCAAATATTCAAATTTTTCGGTTTCTGCTTTAATGAAGGTATCTCCAATAGATTGCTTTGATTTTGCTTTTCGAATTTTGCTAGGTTTTTGTATAAGGGTTGGACTACTAGGAGGTGTTCCTGGCCTTGAAGTTGGAGTGGAACTAGTTTGTGATGACATTTCAACATCGCTTACAAATGTGTCCTCGATCTTAATTAAATAATCAGACACAGGGGAAACCCTCTCTTCATGAGCCAGAAAATGGCCTGAAGTTTCTGGAGGCGTACAATTATCTTTCAGAAACAAAAGTGAATTAAAATAAGGCCATTCTGATATATTGGTTTCGTCATCAGCTCCGTCACCTGATCTTTTAACTGGTTCTTCCGCAAGTTTTTTTAGGAATGTTTGTCGAAGTCTCTTCCAGTGCCCTTTAGCATTTTCAACTAAAACAAAAATTTCATAAGGATTTTGTAATAATGGGATTCTGGTTTAGGCGTAATATTACTACTTAAAAAGGAAATTTTCTAAAAATATTTTAAAACATTAAGCAACTTTCTAAAATATATGCTAATTTAAAAATCTATTCTAATAATTGTTTTTCTACAGGTTTTACTCTACCGGTATATCATACCGTACTGTGGCACATTATTTTCGTATGGGAAATAGTACAGTGCAATATAGTATAAGTGAAGTAACAGAATATTTGTGGAATGTTCTATTTCAGGGGTGCTCAAACGGTCGATCGCGAGTGCTTTTTGGGTAGATCTCGAGAAGAAAAAAAAATTTAATAAGTAGGTAGGTAACTAAACTACTGTCAGCAGAGTTAAACGTTTTTATTAATACTGAACTATACAAATACATAGAATGCTTGACTAAGCATCATTGCAATTCAAAGAAGTGGGGACAACAAAATACTGTCCACACAGCATATTTTATATTTACATATATTAACTAATTATTTTATTAATTCAATATTTATTATAATTATTAATCAAATTTGGGATGATATTCTATCAACTACAAAAATGTATTACGTAATAAAATAACACTGCTTGCGGCAAAAGGTGGCTTTATCAAAGGAACGCGCGGCACTTGTCAAAGAAAAGCCGTGTTGTTTCTAGACGGGAGACAGTACAGTCTAGTTTCGGGCGGCGCGTTTGACGGAAACATTCGAGACTTTCGTTCACGCCGATATAAATGTTGCGCCTGCAGGAATTGGAGTTATTCTGAATTGTAACTTGATAGCGATCCTACGTCGATACAAAGTTTATTATTAAATAGTGGAAAATGAGTGCAGTGAAGAAATCTAAAACGTATCATTTTAATAAGGATTTGGAGGAAGAATTTTTCTTTTCTATGGTGAAGGATAAGTGCATTTGTGTTATTTGTCGTGCGTCAGTTGCAATACCTAAGCGTGGTAACTTAGAGAGGCATCATAAAACTTTGATTTTCCGCCACAGAGTGAAATAAGAAAACGAAAAGTAATTGATTTGATATCTTGTTTGAAAAAAGAACAATCCATGTTCACAAGACCAGCCAAACAATCAAAAGCTGCTACGATCGCGTCATTTAAAATATCTCATATTTTGGCGAAACACAAGAAACCATTTGAAGATGGATCGGTGGTGAAGGAAGCATTTATTGAAGCGGGTGAGACTTTATTTGGAGATTTTAAAAATAAAACAGAAATCATGTCTGCTATTAGAGAACTTCAGTTATCTCGTCCGACTGTCACAAGGCGTATTGAAGTCATGAGTCAAGACATCGCATATAAACTAAAACATGATATCATGGAATGTACATACTTTTCTTTACAGTTCGACGAATCCATCGATATGACAGACACTGCCCAGCTGTGTATTTTTATTCGGATGGTATTCAATGACATGTTGGCTAAGGAAGAATTTTTGACAATCATTCCTCTGAAGGGGAAGACCCGTGGCGAAGATATATATGACGTTTTCTTAAATTTTGTAAAAAAACTACGAGCTACCAATATATAAATTAATGTGCAAAACAACCGATGGAGCACCAGCAATGACTGGAAACAAAAACGGCTTTGTGGCATTGTGTCGAGCTAATGAAGAATTCCCTTCATTTTTTTCATTCCATTGCATTATACATCAACAAGTTTTGTGTTCAAAAGTTTTAAACACGGAGGAAATTATGGGCATTGCAACAAAAATTGTGAATTCCATCTGTGCACGTAGCTTGCAACGGCGGCTCTTTCAGTTGCAGTTGGAAGATAGGGAGTCAGCTCAACAAACTGATTTAGTTCTTCACACGGACGTCAGGTGGTTTAGTCGCGGAAAATTCCTAGAAAGGTTTCAAGAATTATTGCCCGAAATAACAGCTTTTCTAGACGAAAGAGGTGATGACACTTAGATTTTGAAAAACGAAAAATGGCTAAATGATTTGACATTTTTGACTGACATCACAATGCACATAAACACCGTTAACTTGGAGCTTCAAGGTAAAGGAAAAACTATTATTGAGATGATTAGCACAGTAAACGCATTCAAAAGTAAATTGCAACTTATCTAGATAGATCAACTAAAAAGAAAGGATCTGAAAGATTTTCCGTATTTGAAAGCAAGGATTCCTCTGTTGAATTATGATACGTATGAGGCTGAATTATCAAATATTTTGGGACAATTCGAAATGCGTTTTTATGATTGCAGTAAATTGGAGAATATAGCATCATTTTATGAGTTATCCTTTTTCATGTAAAAACATTGAGGAATTAGCTACTGAAATAGCAAGTCAGTTTAATATGAACTCATGTTCTGTTGAAAATTAGTTGGTGCAGATTATATCAGATATACATCTCAAAGCTACAGTATGTGATACAAATTTCTGGCGTTTTATATCTGAAGATAAATATCCGAATGTAAGGCAAATCGCCCTTCAACTGACGGCATTTTTTGGGTCAACTTACTTGTGCGAGTCTGCATTTTCTGAAATGAAGATAATTAAGTCAAAATATCGCAATCGACTAACTGACGATTATATGACATCATGCTTGCGATTAGCACTCAGTGGTTACGTACCATCTTATGAAAAGTATGCTGCCACGCTTCAATATCCAAAGCCACTCCTTAGTTAAGTTTAACACCATATGTAACTCTTTTGTTTTGTAACAACAAATAAACTCGCAATTTTGAATAACTATGAGTTCTTTCATTGATATTGTAGAGAAGAACCTAACTAAACCTAACCCAAACCTTGACTAAAATAATGTACCTATATTGTGCAGAAAGCTAATATCTATATATGCTACAGTACGCCCTACCTAGGTAGGTAGGGTTTATCGTGTATGTACGACAACCCTGCATCACACACACTTGCAGTCTCTCAGAGTCGATCGTAAGTAGTCTAAAAATATTGAGGTAGATCGCCAGCACTTCAAGTTTGAGCACCCCTGTTCTATTTGATATCCATATATTAATCCTATCTCAACGTGATTTTAAAAAAATTGCCAAAAATTTTTATAAAATTTAGAATTTTCCAAATTGCGTAGGTGCGCTAGATGGAAAACATAATCGGCTTCGTTGTCCTGGTAACTCTGGTTCATTGTTTTTTAATTAACATTTGCATTGCACTTCAAGCTTTGGTAGATGCTAATTACCGATTTATAAATATAGATGTTGGAGGATATGGTAAACAGAGTGATGGCGGGACATTCAGGGAGTTTGCTCTATATAAACATATTGTGCAAGGCACACTTAATTTACCGAATAATAGTCCTCTTTCAGACACAAACATGATTTTGCCTCATGTCATAATAGCTGGCGAAGCGTATCCTTTACCAGAGAACCTATTGAAACCTTGTTGCAAAAATGATTTAAATTCTGACAGAGAAATTTTTAACAAATGTTTATCCCCGGCTCGAACGGTAGAATGCTCTTTTCGAATTCTAAGAAGTGGTAGTTTTTGGATAGATCAATACTTACAGATGTAAAAATGGCAGATAAAATTGTTAAAACATTATGAGTTTTGCATAATATAATACTTGATAGAGAAGGTATAGAACACAACCTACATGATGTTCAATTTACAAATGAGGTTCAAAATTTTCAATCCAGACATATTGCTGCAGTAGCCCAGTCTGGTTATGCAAACATCATCGATTTCACGGCAAATTTTTTTCGCAGACACTCGAAGTTTTTAAGACATAGGTGGGGGTTACTAGATGACTAATAAATGAAAAAGTACTCGTATTTTTACCTTGCGTTTTTGTAAACAATAATTTATGGTCACAATTTGATTTTTTAACTAGAAGTTTTTTCCCTTAATATTTTACATAAATAATATTTATATCATTTTTTAATATCAAGTTTCACGTTTTTAAATTATAATTGATAAATAGTTTAAAAAAGCAGTATTTTTGTACTAATTTATAAATTTTTATTAATTTTTTTTATTAACAAATTAAAATGTTATTAATACAGTTAAACCTCGAAGAATTACCGTCTTTTATATTTGTGCAAAATTTCCCCCCAATCGGTCAAATAGTTTAAAAGTCATTTAATTTATTTATCCCTGAGGCTAAATGTTTAAACTATTGGACTTGCTCTATTAATGATGCTAGACACATTTAGCAAATTTCATGTGATTATTTAAGACTTAAACTATCTCAGAAGTTAAATGCATATTGCGTTTTCATCGAAATTATTTACAAAATAAACGTTTGAAATAGGGGTATGTTTTTTACTTATAATCAATTGTAATAACTTCTATATTTTTCAAGCTACAGACTTGTACGTAGAACCATTGGATAGTTGTTTAAAAAAACTCACATTTAACAAAAAAACCTTTTATGATAAATAAGAACAAAGTTAGGGACTATTCCATCAGAAACTTTCCTTTATTGAAATGTCTGAGATCCTCAAAAACCCATCTGCAATAAACAAAAGAACCGACATCGACAATTTGAGCCAGGTTTACCACTCTCTCATCTTACGAAATAAATAATACCAATTATTCATTTTCCATTCAAAATAATAACACAATCATCCCATATTTCTAAGTTTCATTAAAACATAAATTATAAAAAAATATATATCAAATTTTTCCGCCATACAAATCCACCCGTCCAACTAATCATTCAATGACCCCCGCAGAAGTTCATAATTGTCTCAAACCTTGAAATTTGTTGAACATATGGCCATTATATATAATATAAGGACATTATATATTCATATATATATATATATATATATTCATATTATATATATATATATATATATATATATATATATATTATATATATATATTTATATATTCATATATATATAATATATATATATATAATATATATATATATATATATATATATTATATATATATATAATATATATTATATATATATATATATATATATATTCATATATATATATATATATAATATATATATATATATAATATATATATATATATATATATATATATATATATATATATTATATATATTTATATATATTATTTCCTTTAACCATTTAAATGTACTTACCGGGGAAACCACATTCTGCAGCAATTTCGGACCACAGTTTTTTCAATATAAAACTATTGTGGTGATTTTTATTCCTCTTATTCCAAATTGCTTCCCGCACAAATACCAAACCTATCAACTTTTCTTTGTCCATA